ATGAACAATAATCTCATGAATGTCCTCAGACCTGATCCACATCTGACACGTCTGGCAGATCTCCATAAAAGGCTGACTCAACCACACTCTGAGTTAGAACTAAAGTAATGGTCAAACAGATCCCATATTTATAAAACATTTTTGTGATCACAAAGACTTCTAATGGATATATTGAAGTGAATTGTGTACAAAATGTCAACTCTTGAGCCTCAACTCAATATTGTACTCCAAATCGTAGGTAATATCGAAAAATGTCGAAAAGGATGAGAGTTTGAGCCGTCAGTCAATGCATGGATGGGTAGTATAGGTGGGAAGGAGAGCGCATATTCCATGGCTTATACTCTATGCTTCATATTTGCGATATTCTCATATTCTTAATGATTCTTTCGTTTCTCTATGCACTCTATGCACTCAAACTGTGGTCATTAACTCATAGAGTTTATTTATATACAGTATTCAATCAATGGTTTAGAGATAAATTTCAAAATATAAGGTAACAAGATAAGGGAACAATTAAATGGTGTCTAAACATGAATCAAACTTTTCTGTAATTCCTTACCATTGAAAGGTGTTTAATATATGATTATATTAATGAATTAAATGCTGTACACATTTCTTTATAAAGAATAAGTTCTTAATTTATTAAATTCTTTGTNCTTTTGCGGCCATTCGTTCATCCGTTCCAAACGAAGAGTCTGTTTTGATATCAATATAAGCATTACATGAACAATAATCTCATGAATGTCCTCAGACCTGATCCACATCTGACACGTCTGGCAGATCTCCATAAAAGGCTGACTCAACCACACTCTGAGTTAGAACTAAAGTAATGGTCAAACAGATCCCATATTTATAAAACATTTTTGTGATCACAAAGACTTCTAATGGATATATTGAAGTGAATTGTGTACAAAATGTCAACTCTTGAGCCTCAACTCAATATTGTACTCCAAATCGTAGGTAATATCGAAAAATGTCGAAAAGGATGAGAGTTTGAGCCGTCAGTCAATGCATGGATGGGTAGTATAGGTGGGAATGAGAGCGCATATTCCATGGCTTATACTCTATGCTTCATATTTGCGATATTCTCATATTCTTAATGATTCTTTCGTTTCTCTATGCACTGTATGCACTAAAACTGTGGTCATTAACTCATAGAGTTTATTTATATACAGTATTCAATCAATGGTTTAGAGATAAATTTCAAAATATAAGGTAACAAGATAAGGGAACAATTAAATGGTGTCTAAACATGAATCAAACTTTTCTGTAATTCCTTACCATTGAAAGGTGTTTAATATATGATTATATTAATGAATTAAATGCTGTACACATTTCTTTATAAAGAATAAGTTCTTAATTTATTAAATTCTTTGTTAAAACTAACAAAACCTTACAAACACTATAAATTCAATTGTGGTTCCTATAACTTGAATATATAGATAATTAAATGCTGTACACATTTCTTTATAAAGAATAAGTTCTTAATTTATTAAATTCTTTGTTAAAACTAACAAAACCTTACAAACACTATAAATTCAATTGTGGTTCCTATAACTTGAATATATAGAATAACTTTAATAATATTATCATTCACATGATTGTAGGAAATATTAAAAAACATTGCAAACAATAGTTCGCAACAATCACAGTAATCTCAATTCTTACTGCAGCTAAATATAAATGTTATATTCAATTCATTCATTATATTCCTGTTATTGTTGTAAACAAAAAATTTGTAAACTTTTATTAAAACATTTAAATTTAATAATAATAATCAATATATAAGTAATAATATTAGGAAATAACTATTAATTCAATAAATAGATTTCATCGATAATATATTAATATAAATAAAACAATCGGTAGTTTCAGGCGATGGCTTTCGCTTCGGGGAGGAATGCCTCCCAGTATTTGATAACTTGTTGTTGGCTCTCGAGTAATGATTCCATATATTTAATGATATTAGTCTTGAAGTCACGGATTCGCGACACTTCGAAGCGCTCGACCTCTTGTCGTATCGTTTTCGAGACGCTCTCAAACTCCTCCTGACCTCTGCTGACCTTCGACTCCCACTTCATATCAAATACAAACACATTAGCAAACAATTGAATCAACACTTTGTTGTTTAATCAAAAACATTAAGTCAACAAAATTGCGATTAGATTTGAATGGAAATAAATGTCATAAATAGTGAGATAAACGAATGAATGGATACCTCAATGACTTCATCGTTGGCCTGCGATATCTTGTCGGTCTTGAGGGCCAACTCGAGTTTGGCCTTCGCCTCCCTCTTTTTGGTGAGCATGTGTTGCGAGTGTTGCCACATCTGAAACACTTTCACTCTCTGATGGAAGGCCTCTTTGACGGCACCTATGAGTGCGATGTAGTCTTTGAGCAGTTCCGCCAAATAGAAGAAATCGTTGTCCACTTGTTTGCTATACAACTGTTCCATCTTCTCCTCGGTCTCCGCCAACTGCGAGAGAGCGCACGAGAGGGACGTGTGTTCCTCGCAGTTGCCCAGCATTGCCGCGCTTTTGGCGAACGCACCCGTAGTCTGAGTCAACTCTTTGCGGTGATGTATAAGCGCTTCGACACTAGTGAACAGTTTCCTCAGCTGTTGGTCCAGATTCTCGATCTGATTTTGTTTCTCTTCAAACCACTGTTTCATTCAATTCATACATTCATTAATCAATTGTTTAAACATTTCTTTACTTAAAAACACTAATCAATGGTTACCTGCAATGCATAGCAAGCATTGGATATATAAGTCTATCGGTTTGCGTGTAATTGCATTAAACATACATTAATGACATGAATATAACGGTAAAGCAAATGACAGGACATGTAATGAGCAAAGACTACAAACCGGATCAGATTCGTCCATTCGGAACGTGATTTTGTTGACAGTGTCTCCCATTCGACTCAACAGTCGCTTAACGCCGGCACCACTTAATGCAGAAGTATTGGTCGCTTTCGGCAAATCGGTGTCCAATTCGAGAAATTCTCTGAAGTCAGGGTCAGCGCAAAGGGTCGGATGCGATGCGTTTCGGTTGAGATACCTCTCGAGGGCTGCCCTTCGCTTCTCGAAGAACTGCGCCGACGAGAGGCTCTCCTCTTTGGAAGACATCTTCACTTTAGCCATTCCGACGGCACTCTTCTCAGGCGTCGGAGGAATAATTCGTCCCAAATGTAAGTGCTTTTCAGAGAGCTTCTCGTGAAGGCCCAAGAAGTCACTGAACCTGCGATTCACCGAAAACTGAGATCTTCTGAAATAAGGAAAATCCGTTTTCGTCTCCACTTTGTAGACAACATATGCGGACATCCCTTCGCCCACCCGTTGAGGTTCGCCCACAGCTATAGTGATATGTCTTTCAGGTGTTCCGCTTTTTGTGGGGTTTGGAGTCAATTGGTCCTCATTTCTGGAGTTTATGTTTGTCTTAAGGGTTTCGTTAGCGCTTGAAGTGACCGAAGAAGACGTCGACAAAATGGCTTTCGAAGTGTCCGTCGGAAGAGTCGCTTCCAACTCAGCGTTCACTTTACGGCCAATGGTTGTGCCGTTCAATGCCTGCTCACCACTGGACCCATTGGAACCGTTTCTCCCATAACTGTCTTCTTCGTCGTCCAAATCAATCTCATGACTGGCCATCAGATCATTGATAGGATTTTCAATGGAATTGCTTTTGATTGCACTTCGAGTGTCAATGGGAGGGCTCTGTGGGCATAGAAAGGCAATACTTAATACTATTGTCACCAATGAGTGGATCCCAAGAGGCGTTTAAATCATGCACTCAATGGCAGACCTCGAAAGTGGAGACGAAGAGGTCGTCGTTGTGGTCGCTGTCGTCCTCGTCATCATTGGTGAGGGGAGAGTGTTGTGCGGGACGTGTTGGTGGTGATGGTGGTGATGGGGGCGCAAAGGGGTCCCCGAAGAGGTCATCGGAGGTGTTGTGACTATTATTCGNAGTTTGATTCATGTTTAGACACCATTTAATTGTTCCCTTATCTTGTTACCTTATATTTTGAAATTTATCTCTAAACCATTGATTGAATACTGTATATAAATAAACTCTATGAGTTAATGACCACAGTTTGAGTGCATAGAGTGCATAGAGAAACGAAAGAATCATTAAGAATATGAGAATATCGCAAATATGAAGCATAGAGTATAAGCCATGGAATATGCGCTCTCCTTCCCACCTATACTACCCATCCATGCATTGACTGACGGCTCAAACTCTCATCCTTTTCGACATTTTTCGATATTACCTACGATTTGGAGTACAATATTGAGTTGAGGCTCAAGAGTTGACATTTTGTACACAATTCACTTCAATATATCCATTAGAAGTCTTTGTGATCACAAAAATGTTTTATAAATATGGGATCTGTTTGACCATTACTTTAGTTCTAACTCAGAGTGTGGTTGAGTCAGCCTTTTATGGAGATCTGCCAGACGTGTCAGATGTGGATCAGGTCTGAGGACATTCATGAGATTATTGTTCATGTAATGCTTATATTGATATCAAAACAGACTCTTCGTTTGGAACGGATGAACGAATGGCCGCAAAAGAAATCAGCCAAAGAAGTGGAGAATTGGCCGACGGCTGACACTTTGAAACTGATGGGACAAGTGGCTGGAGTGGCCACGAGTAGGGATAATAATGTTCACGTGTTTCACAGAGTGGAGAGAATATGGGACGGAAAGTGAGTTTGTGATGGTTATGATGACTGTGAGGCTATTATAACGAAATACTCATAAATTGTCATTTATTTTGACAGCACTTTTGATATGAATAATGTCTTCAATGAGAGGAATGGACCGCCCATTCAGAACGACACCATTTTGGTGTTGGATCCAAACGATGGCAAAGTGATAAAGTCATGGGGAGGCAAAAGATTTTATTTACCGCACGGCATAAGCGTCGACCCCCAGGGGAACATCTGGTTGACTGATGTAGCCCTACATCAAGTGTTTCGCTTCAAACGCGACCAATTAGACGAACCGGACCTCACTTTAGGCGAACGCTTTGTTCCCGGAGCCGATGAAAAACACTTCTGCAAACCAACCGTAAACTTGGGTTCACTCAATACATTCGCAATCATTATTAAATGTTATCTCTTGCAGGATATCGCTATATCTTCTTCAGGAATGGTGTATATAAGCGATGGTTATTGCAATTCAAGAGTCATGATATTTTCACCTGAAGGACATTTTATCACACAATTTGGATTATCAGGTTAGAAATTGAGTCAAACATTTGATCTAGTATTTGATTTAGTAATTTGGACTTTTGTGTTGGCAATTATAGACCAGATGGTTGTATCGCATAGTCTGACACTTCTGGAAACCGAAGATTTGATATGTGTTGCCGATAGAGGTATTGAGTAAAGAATATTAAATTTGTAGACTATATCATATAAAATGGCAATTATTTGTACAGAGAATCGACGGATACTATGCTATACGGCAGGACTGAGTGGTGAGAGAAGGCCTGGAAAACTAGTATTTAATGTTCAACACAAGCATTTGGGACGAGTATTTGCAATCGACCACATCGGTAGGCATTCCCACTCCTCGTCACTTACTTGTGATTATTACTAACAATTAATGTTTGAATTTCAGGTGACATTCTCTTAGCTATCAATGGACCGGAAAGTAATGGAGTGGCGCCTAAGGGGCTTAGCCTAGACCTGGCGACAGAGCAATTGGTGGACGTATGGGAGCCGACAACTGAGCCCTTCGAAGAGCCCCATGACTTGGCGGTGTCCGCCGACAGCACATCATTCTTCGTGAGCCAAATATCACTGAAATCTCACAAAAAGCTATTTAAATTTACAATCGTTTAAAATTGTTTTAATAATTTATTAATTTGGTTGTATTCATGTTTAGCACATTTGTTGTTTAAGATCTCACTTATAATATATTTCCGTTCAACATTCCCTGATTATTATTATACGATTCTTGTATTTCATTGTAATTTTAATGAATTTATTTATTATTTATATTTTTATTATTAAGTTCTTAAATTTTAATATATTGTATAAAATGGTGTTTGTTATGTAATTCTATTATATATTGTGATATAAATGTTACATTTTATTTAAGAGATGTGTCATTGAGTGATGCCATCAACCACTGGTGGTATATGAATAGGTCTTTCACTCATTTCTTGTACAAAAAGATTTAATATTTATTTAAAACTTGTCTTAAAATCCGTTATACTTTAGTTTTGGGTAATTTAAGATTCAAATAACATTTAGCGAATGATTTATATAGAGTTGAGACACTTCTCTACTTTTAATTTTTTATGAACGATGTGTTTGTTTAATAAAAGTTATTTATTTTACAAAATTGTTTCATTCTTCAAAACTTATTCTGAATATTTTGATTTCACTGTACAGTGCTTATACAGTACAAGTCTTACAGCTTTCTATTCAGGATTACATCTGTTTTACTATACAACTAATTGATTATTACTAGATTGTTACGGTAATATGATATTGTCTAATATTGTTAATTGTGATAATATCATATTATGTTAGATGAGTAAGTCATACAAGGTTATTTCTGTAATCAAGTCAGTCAATAAATTATTGACTCAATAATACAACTTTTTCAAACTAGCGTCTACGAGTCCAAAATTTGGACTCCAAACATTATTTGTCATATCATAATGTCATCATAAATATAATTTTGCTGCGATTTTTGAAAGATTTTACAATTTTGTCATTTGCGTCATAAATTAAATCATTATTAATGATGAGAGGAGAGAAAGGTGTTTATATATTCACCTATTTATTTATTTTGAGAATAGTGATTAAAATATATCATAGATTATAAAACAATTAGTTCGTAATTTAACGAGCTGTTAAAGTACAAGAATGTCAAGTTCAATTCAAACAATTGTCTGTGCATAAGTTTACATAGGCGTGTATATTATAATGGTATAAAATTATATTTTCAAATAACATAACCCGTAAACGACTGTCCAACAAATACAATTTTATAGAGGCATTCAAACTATCAATCACTTTATAACTTATAAATTAAATTATAAAATTGTAAATCTATCGCAGAATAATATTAAACTTAAAACTTTATTAAACTTAAAGTTAATTTTTTTGTAATATTATATGAAATAAGGTAATACAATATCAAACAAACTACTAAATTATAGTACATTATTATAATATTATAGGTTCTGTATAAAGAGAGTACAGTATAATAATGCAGAATAGAATAGAATACAAGTGGAGTGTAGTGTAAAAGTTGAGCATTTGAGCATGTTACATTTAGAGTTACAGTTGAATCTGATATTACCTTAACAGATTTGTGAGCAGATGTGTTCATAGAAATGATATCATACTTCTATACCATTTGTTGCATTCGTTTGTTAGCCTAACCGATAAAATTTGAATTGAATTNCGGACATCAGTCCGGAACTGCCATATAAACGACAACTGTGTCTGAAATGCGGGTAAAATTGATTTGAATGAAATTGTTTGAAAAGATAATGAATGGTTAACTTTGATGGTATTGTGCAGCCGTCCGGTGCCGGTCTGTTGGTGTCCGCACTTATCCGCTGATCCCATTGAGACGAAGAACAGAGTTATTATTCTTCAACATCCGAATGAAGAGAAACGCTGCTTACGAACGGCGAAGATATTGGAGTTGAGTCTGTCTTGTGGTCAATGTCTTGTGATTAAAGGCAAGAAATTCTCGTCATTTAAATACCCGATACTTAAGGAATTGGTTGGCGACCCAACTGCAGACGATTCCAGTGCTAAGAGGAAGACAATTGTGGTCTACCCGGGAATGGGATCGCAGCCCCTCTCGGAGTTGTCTCGCACTGACTCGTACAACATAGTGCTGATCGATGGCACGTGGAGTCAGTCGCGATCGATATACCACAACAGCTCAATACTGCACTCTTTGCCGCAGATCGAGCTCAACGGAACCCATCCCAGCAATTATGTCATCCGCACCCAACCCACCGACGGCTGTCTGTCGACCGTCGAGTCGGCGGCTCTCGTGTTGGCACATCTCGAAGACGACAAAACCATTTACGAGAAGCTGACGAACCCTTTGAAAGCGTTGTGTGACTTCCAGTTGTCTTTTGGTGCGGTCTCTCATCACAGCAAAGAATTCCTTATTATGAATGGTTTGTATACAAAGCCATTAACCAAACGAATCAAACAAAAACTTTTCAACAAACAAGATATCAAACCATTGATCCGTTGACCCGTTCACCACATTCTTGCGTTCATTACTTTAATTTTTGTACAAAAACTTACATAAAAACAATTGTTTATAATTCCGTTAAATTATTAAATTAGTAAAATTGTTGTATATTTTATTTATGATAATAAATTGGAAATACTTTCATCTGAATTTACATTATTTCATAGTTTCATAGATAAAGTAATGTTTATGAGTTGCAATCAATAAATAGTTAACTTATCACAACTTATTATTGAATTAAATACTGTATTATATATTAAATTATGAATTGTATCTAATAATTATAACTACGAAATGACAGTTACTTTAGTGTCAACCCTATTGACTGATTCTTGACTATGTGTTTGAATGTCTTCAACCATTAAATGACTCGTTTCTCCACCAAAAGACTCAAATCTCTAACGATTTCATCTCTTAATTGTTTGAGTTCTCCATTTGTTTGTCGGAAGAATGTGTCCAAAAATGATTGATTTGAGAAGAACTTGAAGATAAAGTCTATTTTATTGAGCGATTTCTCAGTTAAATGGTTTGAAAGCAATTGTTTTAGAGATTGTTTGCATGTATTCAATGAGTTTGTGATGTAATTGCGATCGTAAGAGAAATCCAACTCATGAAACGATATGACGGTCATTGATATGCAACGGAATTCCTCTTTGAATTTATGTCCATATTTGAGCTCTTCTTGAGTGAAACGCTTGTTTTTGCTGATTATAGCAGTCTTTATGATGATCTGATTTGTTTACAATTAGGTTTACAATTATCCAAAAAGTAAGAATTTCATTGATTATTGAGAATCTCAATTTGAGATCTACTGTACTTTTACAGACTCATTAGTAATCACTGATTATTAAGGCTTCGAAAAATTGGGGTATAGTTAGCACAGGCCTACCATAAATAGTACTAAAATTTTCAATTTACTAAAAGTAAAAGTAAGTAAAAGTAAAATTTAATAAAATTTTTAATGCACTTTTAGTTATATTGTTAGATTAGTACTATTTATGCTATGCAAGCTAACTACCCCATATACCCCAATTTTTGAAAAGCTTTACTGATCAGTGATAACTATTTCTATAATATATTATACAATACTAGTACTACATGATTGTAGTAACGTAATAATTATAGTAACTAATTGAAAATAAGTTATTGTAACTTAATACAAAACCTATATAAGTTTGTGAAATGAAATAAATTCGAAACAAACCTTAATTAAGTATTTGACAACTTTTTGTGATTCTTTTTTCGTATAATCGGTATTATGTTTGCAAAGTTGATGCAAATTATCCAATAGTTGTGCCGAGAGGTCATCGATGAACAGTTTGACACAACTCTTGTTCCCAAACCTTCCCAATAAGTTCTTCTCTATTCTAATACTTAACTCTTTTGCCCTCAAATCAGACATTCTTATGAACTCACGATCACTTCAAATATGTGCACAACTTCTTTGAATATGCTGTCAATTACTTTATCAATTTATAGAGTCTTTCACTCTTTTATAAAAAGTTACACAAAATTCAATTCAAATTTTATCGGTTAGGCTAACAAACGAATGCAACAAATGGTATAGAAGTATGATATCATTTCTATGAACACATCTGCTCACAAATCTGTTAAGGTAATATCAGATTCAACTGTAAC